AGTTATTAACTAGCAAACAATTGATGTAGATTAGCTAGCTAGTTAGTGTATATATATGTTATTTTATCTTTTAACTGCTGTTGTCTTTCCAACATAGACGAGCCTACGAGAAAAGAGGAAGTTGACTGAGGCCTGCTCAACTATTATTGGAGCACAGAGCAAAAAGGGGCGGGACTTAGGAAGAGACAGACGTGCATGTCTGCTCACAAGAAAGACTCTGCTACGCTAAGTAGTACACAACCTTCAGTATTATTTTTGGTAACACCTGTGTTTACCCTACTATTTAATGTCAAAGGGGTGCTGTGAAAAAGATCTGTTTGACTACTCGTCATTTCATTGTAATCTTTAAGGTATAATTCTGACAATGAAGCCATCTTTCCAGTGTTGTGGTTCTCTGTCTCTTAGACTGCCCGTGTCCTAACTGTACATAAATGACATCTAGAATACGACTTCTGATAGAACATCTATTTTTATGGATCCAGTATCAACGTTAAAATAATCAGATTGATTTGTTGCACCTGGAGTCATCTATTATGACTCTGGGTGTAATCAGATGAAATGACAAGTGTACTTGAGACTTCTGTCAATAAATGATGGAAGAACTATTTTCACGACTGCCCTGTAGTGAACAGTAATGTATAATACTAAAGCATGAGATCTAATTAAAAAGTCTATATTGAATAGAAGGTTGTGTTGTGTCAAATATGAAGAATCTTCTCATTAGGCCTTACAGTGGTAAAGTAGCAGTGGCTGCTGATAATGCAGTTATGAAAACAGTACTGAAGTGATATTGTTTAGTTAAAGTGAGTGTTAAACAGCTCTACACTCTGATACTGAGAGTTCTGTTGGTTAGCATTGGCCTCCCGGTCCCTCCTTTCTGCAGTAAACGGGGAATACAGTTTCTGGTATCCTTTATCCATTTTATCCAATCAGGACAGGGAACTCCACAAAAATCCCACAGACTTTCAGTGTGGTGGAATGGGAAGGAGGGAGGGTTCCACTAACTGCAAGATTGGACAGGAAGTTAGCCTAAATGATTCCAGCACAATGTTGGTGTGTGTTTCTCCATTTGCATTGGCACTGACTCTAACTGTCCCTACAACATACACCCATCAGCCATAACATTACAACCACTGACAGGTGAGGTGAATAACATTGATTATCTGGTTATCATGGCTCCTGTCAGTGGGTGGGATATATCAGACAGCAAGTGAACATTTTGTCCTCAGAGTCGATGTGTTAGAAGCAGGAAAAATGGGCAGCGTGAGGATCTGAGCGACTTTGACGAGGGCCACATTGTGATGGCTAGACCTTCTGTCCACCAGGGTGCCCAGGTGGTCACAATGTTATGGCTGATGGGTGTATAAACACACTGATGAGTAGCTACAACACAACATGTTAGAGTTCCATATGAATAAAGTCACATATATGTAACCGATAACAAATAAATATAAAGTAAATAATATTTTTTAATGTGTTTGTTTTAAGACATAACTTGGATATTATTGGAATATTAAACATGGGCTGACACAGTCCTATAATGTTCTACTGATATTCTGATTAATTCAAATGAAAATTGATCAAAATCACAGAAAACACTAATGATAGAAATATTGAAACATATTAGATTGATGAAACATATTACAGTGATATTAGAAATTAGTATGTAATATATATATATATATATATATATATATTACAGGCAGGTACTACTGGAGAAAAGAAAAAGCAACGGCTGACCTTTCAACCATTAGGTTTAATAGCGAACTGTAACCCTTAAATCTCTGATCCCCTTCTCCCATCAGGAATAAAAGCAAACTACCAGCCCAACTTACTGTGTCCCCTCCTACTTTAATGATCCAACCAATGCAATGAGCAAACAGCACACAGGGAGTGAGAGTGATCACTAACACGTACAGTTCATTTCTTAAGAACAATGCAAACCCTCCTTCCATCACATTATCATACAAACTGTGTGTGTGCACCTCAGCAGGATATGAATGCATGACAGCCCCCTACCACACAAAACCAACAAACAAGACTATTAAACAATTAGCAATGTGTGCATATTAAATCACATGTTTCGTAGCCACCATTCTCCTTCAGTTTCTCCCTCACGTTTGGAAAGGGAGGGTGAAGAGAGAGAGTTGCAATCTGCAACTACACCACTAGATGGCACTAAATCTTTAATGAACGCTTTCCCAAATAAACTGTAACATACACAACAGTGGCAGCAAGACAGAATAATATCAAGGAGCTCGATGGCCATAACAAATTAGAGCTGATGACTTTTTATTCTAAAAAGTAAAAGCATCCACTGCAGTGATATGTCATTCTAACTAATCTGACTACTGGTTGATTTCTTAAATAACCACACTGTGTATGGCCTTTTACATAGGTTGTATTATGCTTTACACTGATTGATTCATGAAGTCATTTATTCATTGATTGGCTAGCAGTAGTTGTGCTGTGCCTCTTGTACCAGTGAGTTTTAGTTGTACCTGTTTGTAACAAATCTTTTATCTAGTTTAGAAATGAGCTCTACAAACAGAAAACTGATCCCCAGAAACAACAGTACAACACATTCATATGAAAGAAATGCCAGTAAGCATTCAGTCGGTGATCTGGAGGCGGAGAGACATCCAAACCCGGCTCAATTTACTCATAAAGTGAAAGCTCATTAGACGTCTAGACTACATCCAACCGTTGTTTCAGCAGCGTTCTAACTAGGATTTTTCATTTCCACCACAAACAGGAGAACATTTTTGTAATACTGTAATCGGGACTACACAAGAAGGGACAAGCACCCCATAGAGGCCCTGCATGCAGAATTCTGTAGGTCCATACTGAACATCCAAAGAAAAACACCAACCAGTGCATGGAGAGCAGGATTAGGCCGTTACCCATTGATTATGAACATTACATTAAAGGACACTTACAGACTGGTTACATCTTAAAATGATCCCCCAACACACACAGAGATTTCAGGCACTACAAACCCAAGAACTGAACCCCAAATGAGTCCTTTCTGACGGCTGGTCCACTGATCAAATAACAGCCAATAATTCCAGACGTTAAAGAGTTAAATGACAATGAAAAACAAGAGATTATATTAGGAGAGGGACTGCATGTCACAAACTGAGGGACAGAGGAAGAGTGATGATTTCATATTAAACTTTAAACTGTACAGTGAACCCAATCAGTGGACTCAGTAACTGCAAGGAGATTTGGATGAATTTTGAGCTTTCTGCATTATGTATCTTTTTTTTTCATTTCAGTTTCAGCAACTTACACAATCATAGACATGCACATTCACATTTAGTCTGCTGTTTCCCATACATAATCTGCTTAATACAGACTAAGATCACTCTTCAGGTTAATTATGTATCTTTTTAACAATCATACAGACTTAACATTCGCTCTTTGGTCATTTGAACTGTTCTAATCCAGGACGAGGCTCTGTGAATACAGCTTCTGGTCTGCTCTTCAAAGTTTAGATCTTAAATAATAAATTAAACTTTAAAAATAGCTATTTTACATTTAATTTTCTTCACATAACTGAATAAAAAAACAAAGATTTAGGCCAACTGTGTATATTTTTAAAGTCTTCTTACACCCCTGAAAATCAAAAAGGCTAAGCAAACCCCCTGTGAAGCTTTGGCAACCACTAGTGGGGGTCCGGACCCCCAGGTTGGGAACCACTGGAGTAAACTAACCTCTGTATGTAAAATCAGTGGACTGGCCCCCAATATGCTAACATGTGAGTAGCCTATGAGGTACTCAGAGCATGTTCTGTAATCTCAATCTGAAATATTTGTTTTCGTACCACTTCCAAGGAAGTGTCAAAACGTTTAAATACATCACTGATGTTTTTCATGAATGAGTATATTGAGACTAGCCTTTATTACATGAGTTAAGACCCTGTTCTGCCTTTCTGCATTCTCTGTGTCCTAAATGGTGGCCTAAGACCTTTCTCTGAGTTGCACTCTTATATTTTCATAATCTATTACTCAATTGTAAGTAAGAGAGTAAATTGACTCTCAGTTTGTATCATGAATATAATCATTGTATAATCAAACTGGTTCAACCCCGCAAGTGAAAATAACTAGAGGTGAAAATGCACAACACTGTTATTCTGTTGGAAACATTGATTTGACCTGCTGATGTTCATCAGTACACAGAGCAGCCCTCCTGACAATGTTCTCTCTTTAGGTATCAGCTGCTATCAGCTGCTGGAGCCTGTGTTTGTCCTCAGATGTTTGTCCTGAGTTTGTCTGGTGTACCGATGAGATATACAATATTATTGCGTATCGCAATAAAAAACACATCATATTTACATCAGAATAATCATCATTTGGGATAATGGTGATTGTGATTTCCTCACATGGGTTGACTTGATAAAGCTGTCTAGCTCTCCAGCATACAGTCTTATATTGATTTCCTGAGTTATTTTGAACAAGGGGGACAAGGAGGAGCCTGCGTCTTTCCACTCATTCCAAAATACTAAGCCTGTCACCCTGGCTGAGAAAAAATTAACTGGATGTGTGGAAATTGTATAGATTCCAAAATACAGAACAGGGAGATGCGGTGTATCTGTGATGCATTAAATATGTGTTTCTTAACAAAATGTAAGGTAAAGGGATTCCAGTATTTTTTTAGTATTAAGCATTGTTTCATGATTATTGTGATAATATCATGTATAGCAATTATTTTGGCCAAAATAATTGTGACATGAATTCCTAGTCTGGAGGCTGATGGATGTGAGTGAACTGAAATACTACAGATGAACTTCTGTTAACCCTTGCGGCATCTGTATGGTTGATACTATTTTTGTTTAACTCTCTTGACATTTCACGCTCACTGCAGCTGGCTTCACATTTTCTGCTGTGAAACTAGTCTGTCTCTACATTCAGCTTGGTGTGATTATTGTAAATTGGGTAACTTCACATCTGAATTAACTAAACACCCACACTGGAAGCAAAAAAATGAACACAACCCCATTTCCAAAACAAATAATTTAATATATTATGTATAATATTTATATACACAGGTTAACTTAACAAGGCTTTGTACAACTGTTACAAAATTGGTCCACGCACAGTCACCCACGTACATAAAGTACATGCACAAGGGGACAGATAGAGAGAAGGACAGACTGATTTGATTAAGACAAACATGGAGTCTGGTTGTACAACAGTAGTTGGCAGTATAGTTCGGGTCACCTCCATTTTGTTTGTTCTTTTCTGATTAAAGAAAACTAAAGTTCTGGGATGGGGAGCAAAAATGCTAAAAATATCACTCAGGTAAGACTCAGTGGTTTTGGATTTAAAGCTGCAGTAAGATAACTTTCTGTCATATTAGCTGAATCTTTCACTATATCCTGACAGTAGAACATGAGACAGATAATCTGTGAAACAATCAGGTTCCTCTGGCTCCTCCTAGTGCTCCTTATGGTATTTGCAGATTATCTGTCTCATGTTCTACTGTCAGGATATATTGAGCAAATATGTCAAAAAGTTATTTTTATAAAAGTTACCTACTGCAGCTTTAAGGTGGTTATTCGCTCACTCTCAACTGCTCCCATGACACTACTCTCCTAGTAACACCGATATAAACTGAACTGAGCCTCTTTCTTGGCTCCATGCTGCTGATATTGTACAATTATCCAGATAGAAAAAAGTAATCATTTTGGCATGACTTCACATAGCTGCCTTAAACACATTGCTCCTCTGACGAAGCAGATCCTCAAACTCTGGCCCTCCTCCCCAAGCACTCTCTCTCTCACTTACAGACACACAGACACACACACACAGACACACAAAAAGGGAAGCACGATAGGCTTGTGTTGAACACTCAGGGTTTGCATATTTTTATATGTCACTGACCCCATACATGCACTTTTTTAGTCCATGGAAGCTTTGGCGTAATGCCCAAGTGACATCATCCAGAGAGAGAGAGTTGTTTTGCTCCCACAGATCGTAGAGGCTCCCTGTAGATCCACAGGAGGCTTTGGAAGAGCTTGTAAAGGGCTGAGAAAGTAAGATGAAGTGCGCTTTTCTTCTGAATTAGTGTACTGTGATGTACTCCGGCTGACAGGGAAGTGTGCATATGTAATATCTGCCCGTGCGGGTCGAAGACATCATTGGTGAAAACCAGTGGGGGAAGACACCAGCGTACAGCACAGTTGGTTCCTCCAGTGACTGAAGTCTTTGCTGGTGAGGGTAAGTTGTAACAGCAGCAACCGGGCGCTGGAGTTTCAAATGTCTAATATGGCTTTCTCTCGTTTTTTACTTCATCAGTCTAAATTTACAATTGAAGGGTTTCATTCCAAAACATCATTTCAGAAATATATGTTGAGTATAGGATTTGAAAATGCCTTACTTTTGCACCGCCAAGTGGTAGTATGAGGAATAACACTGTAAAACATCAGAATAATCTGATAGCTGCTGTAATCACATGGTGGCTTTTCATTAAGGTTGTAGGTTTTCTTGTCATTTTATAAAGAGTACTTCCTGGATATACCATTCCCTGGATTTCTCACCTTAAATGAAGTTTGATTTTAAAAACAGAACAGTGGATACTTAAAATCCTCTTAAAAGAACTTCTTCCCCCACCTCTGGGGGGGAACAACACAAAGCCAACCATACCTCAGTTTGAGTCTGTTTTCTCAGCATTTCCTATGACCAGTTCTGCATCCGAGTGATAACCATGACCATCTTCAGGGAGCAGACCTGAGGATACAGCATGTTCAGGATGCACCATTCTTCTTGGACCTTCAGCTGTAATGTTAGGATGATGTCTGCTTTCAACATTTCACTGCTCATCAACTGACTGTAGTTCTCTTTTTTTGATATGTTGGATTACGGCATAACTTTAATTGACAGGTTTTGCATTCTGCTTTGTTCGCTTAATCCAGTGGTTGTCAAACCACTCCTGGCATCCCCCCTCTTTCAGAACCCCACCATTTTTATCAGTCATTACAAATGATAGACTTAGCAACTAATAACAAAGGATCCAAGTTGAATTTTAGTGAAATAGAGGTCAACATGATTGGATAAGCTTTAACTTAGTTTTTCTCCATATTTTTCCCCTGGTCATCCACGCCCTTACAGTAGCTCTATGCTCCCCAGTTTGAGAACCACACAGCTAAACTCTAGTTTGAAAAGTTATTGGATGAAACCTCTCTGGGTGAAAAGTGCACCCAATTATATTTCTGTACAGGCCCGGTCAAACCAGCATTTTAAATGGCAGCATCTTGTAGCAAAATCAATTCATTTCAATGGAATTGTTGAGATCAGTGATTTTGTAAAGTAAACCTTTGAAACTACAATACTTGAATTTGCACCATTGACCAATAACAAACTGTGCAGGAGTCAAATACTCCACAAAAGGGTTGTAGATGGTTACAAACTGTGTTTTCCTGTTAGTGACAAAGCTAACAGTCAATTAGTAAGAACTATTGTGACTGACATTAGCATGTCCCTGGTTACTGTGCTAGAAGTTTGCTTGCCAGCTCCATCAGTTCACCACCTAGCCCTTGTGAGTAAGAATCATCTCGCCAAGCTTCTAGCACCACCTATTTCACAAAGACTCACAAATGAACTTTACCAGGGCAGTTCAGGGTTGGACTATATCTACAACTGATGTGTGGAAGTGTAGTATGTGAATACGCGAGTATAAATGGCCGATCCCACAGGTATTTTTCCTGGGAAACAGGATCACATACTGGGGAGAATTTCCCAGAAATACCAAGAAATTCTATCTCAATCCCTGTGTGCAACCCTCTTTGCACAATATATAAGGACATGGATAACTACATCTACAGTTATTTTGTAAGTAAAGGAGTAAAGATGAACAGCTTAAAAGCAGTTGAATAGTGGAACTTGAATATTGTTTTCAGCGAGTTTCAGAGTTTTCAAATAATGGTTATCTAATTTTGGAATGAAACTCTACAACTGCACACAATGTCAAAGAATTCCTTTACCATGAGATCACGTCTCCAACTTAAGGTCCCTAAAGCAACATAACACTTGGCTTTAGAAGCAGTGACACAGATCCAGTGTGTGTGAGTAAAGGGCGAGTACAAGGTACTGCATTAGTAGATGAAACAGTCGGGTTAAACTACCACCGTGTGACGACGCCACGCTCTTGTCTTGTCCCGCGGGTCCAGGGCAGATCTCCTCAGTACCACAATGGAAGATCCCGGGGTGCTCTGATCTATCCAGCCTGAGGAGGAGGAGGACAGAGGGGGTGCCTCCTGGGCGATACGAGGGAGGGGATCTATTTGCTGAATTGACCTTTGACCTACAGTTGATCCCTGAGGAACCCCAACACTCCTGTGCTGACTTCCCTCATTGACTTTGGTCACGTCCACCCTCTCTACTCTCCAACCTCTGACTCTGTCCTCACTCCTGCCCATCTCAAGGTCCAGATTCATGGACATAGCCCTTGTCCTCCCACCCCTGGTCTTCCTGTAGCGGACTGGCGCTGACTGGTTCCGGTCTGGCTGCTGGGTCCCGTGAAAGCTGGATGCCTGGTAGAGGTTGGGAAGCCTGGTGGGGCAGATCCAGAAAGGGACTGTGGGGCGTTTCGTGAGATTGTGAGACTTCAAATGGGAAGGAGGATTAGTCACAGCTGGGGGTCTTGGGTACGTGGCATGGATCTGATGGTGGGAGCAGAGGAAACTGTTCGGACGAGGTTGCGGTGCATTGCCCGTCATGGTTGTTCGCTGCCTGTTCTCCCTTTCTAACTTTTTTGCGTCATTGCCTGTTTCGCTTCCCACATCCTTTTCAGCCTCTTCATCTCCCGCCAATGAATCTTTTCGTTCTGTGGTCTCTGGAGCTTTCACCCCATTTTCCTTTTCATCCCTTTTTTCTTTTTTAGGAATCGTATGTTCTCCTTTGACTGGCTCTTCCTCCTCTCTATCCTCTTCCTCCTCACCTTCAACTCCTTCTCCCCTGTAGTTGCTGGCCTTGACTGGCTCATGCTCGGAGTCTTCGTCAGCACTGCTGCCCTGAAGGTGGGTACTGGGGCTTTTTTTACGTTTGCGGGTCACAGCAGAGATGATGGACATGGGTAGGAAGTCTCTGGCATTCAGGTCTTTCTTGGAGCCCAAAGAAAGCTGCAAGGATCAAATATCAGTCAAATAATGGTAACTCCAAATTCATATTCCAAGATCCTAGTCCCAGAATTAAAGTACAAGAAAGAGATTTCTTACTTACCTTTGACTTAAGTGAATCGCTGGTGGTGGAATCTATTGGGAAGGAACCAGATGTGGATTAGAACCATGTCATCACTGGATGGGTGGTGGTAGTAGTGTTAGTAGTACAAAGGTATGATATCTGGCTAACCACAGCACACACTACCAATTCTGCAACCTTTTGGGAGAACTCTAGCCATTATCTGAGGATCTGTCTTTAAAATAAAGCAAACAACCCTCTGCTTTTACTTTAAGTAGAAAAATGGCTAGAGTTCACCTTTAACGTCAGAGGAATGGTGATACATCGGGGTGAAACCATGGGTAAATGAAACCAAGTGCAATAGAAACACCAAACACACAAGGAGAAAGACCTGGTCCTACCGAAGGGGCTGATCCATTGTCTCAGCTAGAGAGAAACAGTGCCAAAAGGTCCGGGAAAAAAAGAGAAATTGGGAAAAAGTAGGAAACATCATGAGTATACAGAGCAGAAACAGCCGGGAAGTACAGAGATCTATTGGGAAGGGAAGACACTGAGCTGAGTCTCATTTGGTAAGGCCAGCAGTAGGAGTATAGAAATTTGAGTGAAGCAATTTAACATTAGGGTTTCAACTGGCACTAGTCATCAGTACCTACAATAATGCCCATATCATACAGCAATTGGCCAGGTGTGCAGAAGTGAGAAGGTAGGCAGGATTTTCATTCTTCACAGAACTTCCATGCCTCAGGATTTTACATCAACCAGAAATGCCAGCATTTTAAACCAAAACTGATGTATCTACTCACAAATGGAAGAGACACAGTCTGTCCTGAGAATGATCGATTAGCTTCCCAACCCTTTGCAATAAGTCAAAAAGTGTGTATTTTATTTAAGTCCTCTTTCTAGTCCATGGAGTCACCATCAAACTGCATGGCTCCCAGTCTGATCATTCCCTGGAGACAGCAGCGCAATGGCTGGACTACAAGAGGTGACTCCAGGAGTTGTCGGAGAATCACTAAGCACGTCTGTTAGAAGCAAGCGGCCTCACTGATTTTTATTTTCACAAGCCAATGGTTGTATTGAGTCTCAAACTGAGTATTTTTGTTTGCTTCCTTGGATCCTTTTTTTTTGTTGAGATAAGGACATTGTTAGTTGAACTGTGGGTTTTATATTGCATACTGACTTTATGTATAATCTTTAAATTCTGTGTAATTACTCATACAGCCAGACGGGGAGAAGAAAGTTCCGGAATGCAAGTTTAAGGAAAGTCTGTGCTGTTAAGCCCATTTTAATGAATATCATCTGTCTCCGCCTTCGAGTGTGGCTGTTTGGAACAGTTAGAAACACTCATGCCTTCAGACGTGGTAGGATGATGGCACATTGCTGTAGCTTCAAATGTGAAATTTGTGGTAATGTAAGATCCTTTCCCAGGATTTTATGTTGATGAAGCTTAAGTTTCTCTAAGTCTCACTCAAGTTGGATTCCTCACCTGATGCCTCTCCTGGCATGCCTGGCCTGCCAATGTTAGACAGCAGATGGTCAATGTTGGGCACAGGCTGCATGTCCCGCTTATCCTCTGGGGCCTACACACACACACACACACACACACACATACACACATTTACCATACCCAAAAAATAAGTACAAATGAAGACATCTGAATATAAACAATCTCTGTATTCATGACATCCTCAGTTATTTGCACTAATAAAGCCACTACTGTGGTCTAACATACCTTCTCTTCCTTATCAAACTCTCCATTGCTGAAGAACCAGTCATGCTGTTGAAGTAACAAAACACAACATCACTGGGTGATAAGACAAATACTGGTGCAGTATTTCTTGTGTGAGATGGAGCAACTGTTGGTTCTTACGTGCAGGATAAGCGTCTCCACTATTTTGTAGCGATCGGGCATGTGGGTGACCATGTCAGTCATATTGTCCTCTGACGTCCTCACCAGAGTAGGACCAAAAACCAGAGCCAGGTTTCTCGGCTCCATCTGAAAATGATATCAAAGTTATGTTCCTGTCTGGCTCCATTAACGCCCACACTAAACTGCTAATATGAAGGGGGAATAAGGTAATAGGTTACCTTATTCTTCTCAGAGTGATCTGCCACCTTCTTGAGGTGGCCCACCAGGAACTTAAGGGTGTGATAATAGTGATCTGGGAGGTCATGGATCTGGACAAAGACGGACGGGAAGCAAGAAATGCAGGTAGCAAGAAGAAGATAAAATGGTAGATTCAATTTTTAAACAAATCTATGATTAACATAACATAGTAATTGCTCAATATTATTTGACACATACCAGTTTCTTCATGGTCTTCAGCCTGTCCTCTGCGTCTTCTATCCGGTTGGCATCAATGAAGTCATTGTATTTGTCTGTAGACAGAGAAAGCGTATGAGTAACATATAATGAAAGGACTACATTCAATATTTCAACATTGGCCAATTCCTTATAACAGTCTATGGAGGTTTTTACATTATAGCAAGATATTTTGACATTATTATGACATATCATACAACATATCACATTATGACAAGAGTTTAACTCTTTGTTATAACATATACAATACACATTATTTATCTTGTTATAATCAGAGTTATTATAGTTTTGTATTTTTATTAAATGTTTGTTTTCAGTTCAGTTTAGTTTCAGTTAGTGGGTCAGTCTTTTTAGTTTAGTCTTTATTGTTTTACTAAATTGTTTTACTTTAGTTGTTATTCGTTTGAGTCATATTGATTAGAATATTTCCTGTATATTTTTATTTTATTTTACTTAGTTTAGTTTAGTTTACTTAGAATGACACAACATTGTTTTAGTTCTTGTTTTTTCACATATAGTTTTAGTTTCTAGTTTAGTTTTACTATAATAACCTTGCTTAATAACTTTCACATTATAACAATATAAATACCACATGCAAACAGCAGGCAGGAAAATTGCTTTTTATTAGTATCCAAACTGTGAAAATAATCCAGTGGCAACCCTGATTTTGCATTATATACCAGTGGTTCCCAACCAGGGGGTCGCTAAAGCTTCACATGCGGTCAGGAGGCCATCTTTATTTTAAGGGGCGTAAGAAAACCTACACACACAGTAGACCTATATCTCAACTTTTCAGTCATTTATGTGAAGAAAACTAAACTGAATCATTTTTTGATTATCTAAATCTTGACGAGCTGAACACAAGCTGTATTCACAGAGCCACCACTCTTTCATAAACAGCCTTATCCTGCATTAGAACAGTTCAAACAACCACAGAGCTAATAGAACAATGGCCAAGTAACAGGTAGAAGAAAACATTACATTTAAAGCCTATAATGATAGTTAAAAAATATAAATATTTAAATCAGGGGTCAATAATTTACTCAGTGACAGAAAAGGGGTCCCTTAGAGAAAAAGGTTGGGAACCTCTGTTATATATATAGTATTTACAGTTCACAATAAACAAACGAGTGGACGCACCATCAGTAAACAGTGGCTCAGGCAGTTTTCGGAAGAAGGATTTGAGCAGGCTGCTGATTACATTCAGGTCCTGCCATCTCTGTGGAGACAGTCAGCATTATAAAAATAATCTTACACAATGATTCTTGGTATAAAACATTCTTAGGTATGACTCCAGCTAAGACTTTTATTACAAAACAGCTTTGAAAAGACATCCTATGTGATATAAGCATGTTTCCTGCACACCTCCTCAGCAGTGTTGATGTCCATGCCCTTGTTGAGATGCTCCTGCAGGTTGGATACCATGGCGTTATTCCCCGGCACCCGGTAAATACCGGTGTACTCCAAACCTGTCGCCTCAACCACGTCGCAGCACATCTCCACAATCAGAGGGACAAACTGTGGAGAGATGGAGGCAGGCACATATAAAGAAGGGAAATTGATTGAAAACAGGAAGAGGGAAGTAAGTGTGGTGACAAAGAAGGAGTAAGAGATGGAGGTAGAGTCCAGAGACCTGCTAACTGCTAGCCTGCTTGCTCAGTAAGCTAACCCAACTCCTGGGTATTTCTCCAGTATCTGAAATCAGTCCAGTTGTTCCTGTTTCTTTCCTTGTTCTTCCCCTTGTGTATACACCAGGTAAGGACTAGAACTGGAACGCTTAAGCCCTAGACCTGACTGTATCATAAGTGAAAGCAATTAAGTAAATAAGCAGTATTTTCACCTGTGTTCCACTTCAATATTTCTGAAATATTGAAAACTTTGTGGTTAGTGTTAGTGTGTCTTCAAATGACTTGAGTTGTTTGGACTGAAGTAGAATTCATGTTATTTTTATGCTATGAATCATGTTGTTGGTGTAGTTGTAAGTCTTTGGCCTCAGCATGAAACACTCAAGGCTTACTTTATGGTTGACAGCTGGCTGACAGTCCTCCAGTCGCACACCAAAAGCCTTCGGGCTGCCTGTCTTCTTGGCCTTCTTCATGATGTTGATGCCCCACAGCGCCTTGTTGTCATCTGCACACGCACACACGCTCAATTTGATATTTACATCCACATGGAAAAAAACATCATTTAAACAGCAGTTTATTATCACTAACTGGCCCATGTCAGATTTTTACAAACAGAGCAACATCAGCAGCTCTATAGGGCACCTAAATCAAACACAGGTGGTGAAGAGTATGGCATATAAGTGTGTAAGATGCCTTGTGTACAGGAAAATTACTGATATCCATCCTCCAATGACTATATTTCACATCAAGATCCACTGATTGAACCATTGTCGTTCACAGTACCATGGACACCAAACCATTGGCACACACTAAAATGCTGCATGTGGATATTCATGAAGGACACTCCAGTTGTACAGGTGCATAAACTAGTTACCCTGTGCTTTATCTGCAATGTCAGTGCTGCCATATGCTGGTTTCATTTCAACGAAGACACATTTTTATTGTCTATCAATGCAAGACATTTAAACACCACAAAAAGTCACACAAATGATTTGCAAAAGATTACAGCTTCCAATATGAAGGGTAACATTTAGGAGGATCTACTGGCAGAAGTGGAAGATTATATTCATAGGTATTTTTTCGTTAGTGTATAATAACCTGAAAATAAAAATTGTTATGTTTTCGTTACCTTTGAATGATCCACTGGTCTTTTAAATAAGTCTATGCCAAATTTGTCTGTTGCTGTTTGTAAATGCATTATTTAAAGCTCTCGACTGAGCCAGAGAGAGCAGCCTTGGTCTAGAGGTTACGTTCTAAAGCTCAAATACACACAGCCACACCTCCACATAACCCTGCAGGAAGGAACCATATTTGTGGATTGTGTGTGAACGCAGCTGGAGTGTAGCTTCTGCCCTCAGTCCAACTAACACTAAGTCTCTACATTGTTTTTTGCATAGTATGCCTTTAAACCTCAAAATACAGTCCTTTATTGTAACAGTGAGTGTTGTATATTTCCAGTTATTACTAGTTAATAGTTTATCATTTGTTAATATGGTGGCATTAGAGGATGTAGGCTTCCTCCTCTGTAGATCGTGAATGTTTGTATAGAATTTCATGGCAATCAGTTTGTACCCACCAGCTCTGGGGGCTCGGTTCACTAAGGCGTTGTCAGTCTTAGCCAGGAGGAAGGGAGGCATCATACGATGGGCTCTGGGAGAGGAGTCCGGCTTATTACCTGTCAGACTGCACGCAGTGAGGGACACAAAGAAATTTGTTATTTTATGAAGATGGGGTTTGCAGATTTAAGAAAATGAGATGGTCTCCATACGTTTATAAAAATGTCATGATGACCTCAGTTTTATGCCTTGTTTTTCTTGGTCTTAGGAAACTGCATTTAAAGTTATTGTTTCTGACATGCCTATAGCCGAGAGCTACAGTGAGTCCTAATTATACAAAGGTTAAGGGACAGTTGTGATAAAGACTTTTGGCTAAATTTAATCCACCATGCTGACCTGTGTTTTCTGTAGTCATTCAGCTTCTTGTTGATGAGAGCTTGTCTTGAGAAACCAATCTCCTAGAGCAAATAGAGATTACAAAAAATTAGATCAATATGTGTGTGTTTGTGTAAATTCAATTAGATTAACTGGATATGAAGATCTAACCTCATTGTCGGTCTTGCTGTTCTCCCTGATGACCCTGATCCAGGCCAGCATGTCGTCCCTGTCCTCGGCCTGCAGCAGGTACTCGCAGAAGTCCTGCGTGGTCAGCCTCAGGGTATGCTTACGCTTGGTTTCACTGTATGCGATGTCGATCAGGCAGCCGCGGATGCTGATTGGAGGATGTTCATCCTGGCTGGGCCCTGCCCCCGCCCCGTGAAGGACGGCTTCTCGCTTGTCCTTGTAGAGGAAAAGCGAATGGGAGCGAAGCACGGAGAAGACACGCTTCCATGGACGCATGCCACCACCTACTTTCTACAGGAAGGAGAGACAGAAACAAGAACTTTACCTTGAATAGAAAACATCAATCACATAATTAGCTATGACAAGCTTACGTTCCCAGATGTTACTATTTCACAGTTTAGGGTCAATCTGTCTTTTTCTTTTATTACGTTCTTTTTATTCTTAAAAGTGAGGTATTCTCATTTGTTCTTCTTGAAATTAATAATAAATTAATAAATTACTGTAGTACTATAGAAGTCAAAAAACACAAAAAAACAACAAACGGAAAAAAGGAGTTCCCGGAGGCTCAATTCTGGGGAATGCAATATCTACATGCTTCCCCTACCCTAGCAGAGATTATGGAAAATATATATTACCAAAATTATGCAGACACAGATTTATACAATGATATTTAACATTTTTGGCATTTTGTCTTTTTTTTAGACTATTTTGCAGGGTTCTGATTTTCAGTCTGACTCAGTTAGACCCTTAAAAAATATAGATTAATTACTGGTAGCTAACGTTAGCTAGCTACAGATGATTAAATCTGCAGACAACAGTTCAGCTGGCAAACTCGTCAGTTGCTGGGTAGGAATAACAAACCTACTTCTACCTAAAGACAAGGACCCATTGTATCTGCCACTGTTATGGTTGTAAAATGCATATGTGCCATACTAGAATGGAACACTTGAGAGGTGTAACTGAGGCCCTTTATAAGGGGGGTGTGGTTAGAGGAAGAATCAGTTAGCTTACAGTGTGTACAGACAGTGTGTTGTACCTTTCCCTTCTCTGTGAGGATCTGTTTGTAGTGCAGCCAGCCCTCCTTGCGCACATCACTAAAGGTGATGGTTCCCAGTTCAGAGGTGGAGTGGCGCTTGGACCGGGCCTCCTCCTGGGCTCGCAGACTCTCCAGAGACTAAAACATAATTTATGGGCATTATTAGGGTGCACAATAGACAGTGTTTAGTTGGTTGCTGGTGTAAGAATAAAATAGAATTAGAAAGTGTGTTAAAGACTCACCCCATCAGTGAAAAAGCTCTTGACCCTTTTTGGTAGTTTGCTGTGGAACAGAAAGGAAACAAGTTACAAAAACAGCCCGCCTATAGAGTCTAGACAGTGTCTGCGAGGACAGTATTTTGCATACTACATAGTAAATGTAAGTTGTAACAGCCAACATAAATCCAAGTGAAAATTCCAAAAAGTAGAATTTAAATTTTAAAAACTTAACTATTATTAATTAATCTTAAAGCTATAATATCCTATGTTTTTTATGTCTATCAATGACCCTGTGTCTATGTTAAAGCCCCCTTTTAAATTATATTTGTTACTGAAGTTTTGTGGTACATACACGTATAGGCGACAGGTACAAGACAAAACTCATTTCTAGGAATATATCGACCCATTTTAGTAAAGAATACAGCATTCAAAGTGTCCCGTCTGAGTTCCTGACTCACGAGAAGACACGGCCTTCATCCCTGAAGGTGTTGAGACCCTCGTCACAGGACTTGGATCTCTCGGTGGTGATGGCCAGCAGGTAAGAGGAGCGGCGACTTTTAATACTGCCTGAAGAGAGAAAAAGGCGATTCAGAGAGGAGAAATGAGATGAGAGTGTAAAATAAATATGTGCAATATGTATTGCAGTGAACTGAAATGACAAGACAATGAGTGATTGTTGTTGTTTCAAACTGTGAGTGATAAATATGACAATAACCAGGTGGATGAATTAAGGGGTTAAACATACAAACTGCCTATTAAAGGAATACCATTGACATTTGATTTTCAAATTATACACACAGTGGCTTTGAGTACTTCCTTATGAAATGATGAATTAAAGGGAAAGATTTTTTTGCAAAAAGTGGATGGAATTCTTCCATGTAAATATCAATGTACTCCTTTAAGATGAGTCTGAGGCTACGGCTAGACAAATATATCAGTCTGCCAAAATAAATAAATAAATATAATGTGTAATGTGATTTGTATATTTTTTTGTGATTTGTATATTTTATGCACCAATGCACCAAGACAAATTCCTCGTATGTGTAAAAACGTATCTGGTAATAAACCAAATTCTGATTCTGATTCTAAAGGCATTACATAACCGCTTGTCATTTTGACTCAAAAGCACCGGCAGTGGTGTTTGGCAATGTCAGTTCAAGCATACTGGAAAACATACTGTATATTGATCTAGCCCTTTCTGAAGCCTTTCAGTATTTAGAGTGAGTGAGTGAGACTCACTGCAGTCCTGAGAACGAAGTCGGACAAAGGGGGAGATGGAGGAGAGGGTGGGGGAGACAGAGGTGGAAGTGAGGGTGGCCATAGCGGAGGCCTGGGAACTGGACACCACAGAGCAGGCTGGTACATAGTAGGTCTGTACGTCAATACTAGGACTGGTGGGTTCATCTGCAAGGTTGTCATCACAGGTGAACAATAAGGGATGAGAAATTATTAAAAACAACGACAAGACAAGACATGCTAAGAGCTTCCTCAGGTGCTGTTTAGGTTGTGAGGACCTCTTTCTGAGGCAGACCTACTCTGGAAGCAGAAATAGCCTCTGATGGAGATTAGCCACCTGACAAAATTAAGCTGCAGTAGTTAACTTTTATGAAAATAAAACATTCAATATTGAATACTATATCCTGACAGTAGTACATGAGACAGATAATCTGAAAACAATCAGGTTCCTCTGGCTCCTCCTAGTGCTCCTAATGGTGTCCTAGAATCCACTGGGACTGAATGAAAAACAACCAATTAGAGCCAGGAATGATATCAAGATGCTTTGGGTTGGAAGCTTGAAGATAGTTGATTGTTGAGTCTCATTTCCAGAGTGCCAAAGTGTCTATATTTGGTGCTCTGGGAAACAACTACCTTGGCACTGATTGGTTGTTTTCACTCAGGCCCGGTGGATTCTTGCAAATACCATTAGGAGCACTAGGAGGAGCCAGAGGAACCTGCTTGTTTCACAGATTATCTGTCTCATGTTCTACTGTCAGGATATAGTGAAAGATTCAGCAAATATTAGTTATTTTCATAAAAATCACCTACTACAGTTTTAACTGAACCTGTAAGATTATTTCTGACCCCAAAGCATCTATTTGTGTAGAAATGTCTACAGAACTAAAACTCCCTCTCGTTTTGCTTATTTAAAATACAAACACTGGACAGGTAAAGCTTCAAATGCATACTAGAACATTAAACATTCAGTATCCATCAAACACGTACAGAAAACTAAGTTTAGTGAGGGTACAAGCATTATGTTGGCGTGTACATGACACACAGACAGGTATAAACACACACAAAATTTTGAAAAGGATAGAAACACACAGAAAGAGAAGGTGCACGACTAAGGCCTCACATAAGTGAGATATTGAAGAGCTCTGTAGCAACAGACAACATAATTGTTCTAAATATACAAAAATGTGCCTGTTAATGACTGAAAATGCCAGAAAAGTGGTCTATTATTAAACCGAGTAGTGTAATCTCATCTTCAGAGGGATGTTTTGAATTTTACAACACTAATTCATGTAAAATGATGTTACATTTTTGAGTTAAGTTTTGTTATAGTGTTGACATCCTCTGACCGTGTTAAGTCAGTTGCTACAGAGAAAAGGTCACTAACCTATGAAGGGAATAGAGGACAGGGAGTTGAATGCATGCTGGGCCAGGCTACCATTAGCCCTGCGGCTGGGGCCAGGTCCCCCAGAGACAGGAGATGGGGTTCCAGATGTAGGTGTCAAACCAGGGGGCTCGGGTGAGTCCACAGGTGTGGCGTAGTGGGGATGTCGAAGGACCTGAACAGGGGTTCGGCGGCCAGAGGGCGGCTTCTGCCTCAGGACCACCTCTTGATTGAGGGAAATGGGGGAGATGACCTCCCTGTCCTCACCCAGGAGGACTCTCTCCTCCTCTGACGCAGACAGGGTGGGGGTAGACTGGGGCCTGGGTACCATCCCCCCCTCGCTGTCAGCAGGGCTGCTTCTGTTGCTGGGGCTCCAGTTGAGGTGAGGGCCGATGTAACTGGGCTCTCTGAAGGAGTGGGCCTGCTGGAGGAGGTGGCCTGCTTTGCGGCAGAAAGAGGGGCTGTAGCTTTTGTAGCCCACCAGCTCTTCTTCTTTCACTCGCCTCGTTTGGGGTTCAGCTACCTGCTGACCTGGCTGCCTGCCACTAGGAGGCACTGTGGCAGAGGCTGTGATGGGGGATGTCACTGTGGTTTGGTGCTGATGTCCTGCTGTGACTTTCTGCTCGCTGAACTTTGTGGTTTGGGAGCCTTGTGAGGAGTGTTCGTAGCGTGGTGAAACCAGTGCAGAAGCTTGTGCCAGTGTTTCCACTGAACGCCCGTAGTTGTGCTCGTACTCGGCGTAGGCTGCTAGCAGGCTTTCTGAGCACGACCTGCTTCCTGGTCCCGATACACCACCCCAGCTCCCTAGCCAATAGGAATCATGGGAGGCAGCAGCTGCCTGGTGGTGGTACAGGAGGGTTTCTCTTCTGCGATGCTCCACAGAGTTTGTGGAAGCAGATGTGGGTCCGGGGCCGAGTGCCAACCCCAACCCCAGCTCTGCTAAACGATCCTGAGATATACTACGGTGGCGAGGGGACATGTGCTCGGCGGCCTCAGCCTGGCTGTAGTACCAGTCCGACAGAGCCTGGTGGCAGAGAGCATCGGCATGAGAGCGGGCAGAGGCTGGCAGGCTGCTCTTCCGTGGCGGAGGCAGGGTTGCAGAGGCGATGGCAGCGTTGTGGTTAGCGAAGTGAAAGTCCAGCGCATTGACGGCCGAAGACGAGCGGCCACGGTGTCGTCCCAACGGGGGAAAGTGGCCACTAGAATCCTCAGGACCCCCAGGCCAGCCGGAGGTGGGGGTAGAGGCAGCAGGGGGGCGGTTGTCCAGTGGAGAGGCAGTGGGGCCGGGTCGGCACTGCCAGTTGTCCAGCGGACTGTGAAGGTTGTGGCTGGGCTGTGGGGCAGCGGAGATGGGCTTGGTGGAAGGGTAACAGAGAGGCGGTGGCTCAGGTAGGTTCTCGGCCTCGCCTGAATATGGCTCATTGCCTTTCAGGTAGGCATCCTGGGAGTACGCCTGAGGACAAGAGGGGTTAGGGCACAATGTAAAACCTGACAGAACAGATAAAAGAACAAAGATGGAAGGAACAGCTAGAGGGCAGAGTGGGTCAGATGCAACATGCAGTTATATTTCTTTTATCCTAAAAATCTGTCTTATACAACCAACACTAAAACCTTACTTGCTTTAGTAATTGTATCTGAATTTATTTTATTCTTTTGTAATTGATTGTATCTTCCACTTCATTGTATTTTTTTCCTTTATCTTATCTAAAGCACTAAGCTGACAACCATATTCATTATTGGCATGTGTAATAAAAATGAATAAAATCCAATGTGTTTAATTTTTGGACAATTGTGTTACACTGCCTCCTTTCATGCATTCTTTTATACCCGACTCGTAATGGTACAGTTTGTACTCATGGACAATAGCAGATTTCTGAAGTTAAACTTTAATAAGCGGCTACAAGAATTATAATAAAAATACACAATCCATGCTATCAAGTAAACAGCCTAGCTAACTGCTGTGGCTTCACACGGGAAGGAGGTCAAAAGAAGGGAAGAAGAGAAAATAGAAGAAAGATAATACTCACACTTACCAACTGCAACACATCCTCATCTTTTGGCATAATAGAGAGCTCCAGAATGTTTTCACTGCAAAATAAGATCAAATATATGAAAAACATAGGTAATAGGTCAGATTTGAACGTGATTTTTTGAACATGTGATTTATAAACACTAGTCTCCCACCTGTTTTGAATGAGTGCAATCACTTGAGAGTAGGTTTTCCCCAGAATGCTTTCCCCATTCACCTTCACCAGTCTGTCCCCTGGAGAACACACACACAAACACACACATTCAGAAGAAGTAAAATATGTGTTACATGTTTTTGAAATAGGGGAACACAATAAAGCCAGAGGTTCTTCATGTGTTAATTTCTGTATTGTTAATGCACTAAACCTACTTTTGTTAATTGGACCAAAAAAGTTGTCAGTACCCCAGTTGACTTCAGCTCTAACCCATCTAACCATTTTCAGAGTTTAAGGAGTACCTCACCAGCATTGCTGTAGACAGGGTTTTAGAAATATCAAGGTTGAATAACTGAACTTGCAACGGGGGTTTGGGGATAATTATTTCACAACTTTTATTATAAACAACAGAATACATTTTTTTTATGGTATTGTATTTATTGTTTTTATTGTATACAACGGAAAAAACATTGAAGTCCGGACCTCTGTGACCTTAGTTGTGGGTACAGCCAATCAGAAGTGCCGGTACTCAGTACCAGTGGGTACCGTCCCATTTCAGGCACTTACTTTAGATACAAATGTAGATTCCATTATATTTTTATACCTAGAAAGAAAATGCAGAGGAAGTGGTAGTATTTAGGATCTTTCGAGGAGTTTTTTTGACGATACAGAATAGCACTTGTCATATAATTAAACGGTAGGCCTAGTATTTACAATTGTTTTCACATTTTGTTTCATTAAGTATGATGAAGTGACTCAAGTTCATTACAGGTCAGCGTTTTTCTGCAGCGTCTCCAGTGATTTGACAACAGGTTTACCTTGGCGAGCTGAGTGAGGGTCTAAAATGCAATTAAAATTTTCCAAGACAACATAGATTATTTCCAGGATATTTGATCAATTTAATAAATTACTAGGTGTTTCCATTACTGGAAAACCGGTCTCTAAGTATATATTTTCCAGGATGCGTGACAACTCTGGATTTGCATCATCATTGCATTATCAAGAACCATTTGGGAAATCAAACTCCATTGACTGACTGCCCTTTAACGCTTGTAATGTGTATTTTTGTGTTGTCTGTTGTCACAAAGAGCTCATGATGCACAGCATGTGAGTTTATACAGATTGCTTATAAGATCAGTTTCTGAACAGTTAACGGACAGCGAAAGAAATTTAATAATAGTTTTGCTTTGGAATTCATGTTAAAATCACATGTCTGCTATCACAAAGTCCTGTGTTTGCTTTTAGACCACAAACCACACTTTAGTCTGCATCTGGGTTCAGCTGAAAGCTTTCCCAACAGGGAACACAAACAGGATAGATGTGAAAGCGCAGTTAGGCCACCTACAGTCCTAACAATCTTAGAGAGTAACTCCAGCAGTGTTCTGCTGCCCTCCCTGATTGAAATGTTCAAGCCTGTTTAGCCTCTGACCATGCCCAGCATCACTGGTGCTGTCACAGGGTCCTGGAGTACACCTGTTCATCACTGCAGCAAGGTGAGAAGTTACACCACTGGAGGTCAGCAAAGACAACGTGTTACTAAGAAGTTACTAACTTATTGATATCTGCTGCAAGAAAGATCTGTTTGAAGCCTGAGAGACGGAACCCAGGACAAAACACAGAAGGAAATTTTCTCCTGTACAAACTCCACTGTATCTTATGTCTATTGTATGTCATTCATATGTTTCCCAAATATTGTGTGTGTGTCTGTGTGTGTGTGTGTGTGTGTGTGTGTGTGTGTGTGTGTGTGTGTCTTCTACCTGTACACAGTCCAGCTTGTTGGGCAGGGCCATTTTCTTTGACACTTTTTACAAAGATGGTGTCCATTGGCTCCAAACGAGACCGCTGGCAACCTGCTTAAACACACACAGTACAGATTTATAACACATTTCGCACGTGGAAACAATAGCTCCTCCCCCCCAAAACACACACACACACACACACACACACACACACACACACACACACACACACACACACACACACACACCTCCTAAGCATATGTGCATTATGAAACAGAACACAATAGATCCTAGAGACACTTACAAGAAGCCGTGATACTGATTCATCAGACACTCACCTTTTCCAGTAGCGTTTCCATTCTCTTCATCCTGTGGGAGAAACACAGAGCAGTTGTTAGATGTTAGAGGAGAGGGGGACCACAGGGGGGCGCTGCTCGGCTCACATTTAACCCAGGTCTGACTGACTCCAGCTGACCGGGTAGTTTGGGCTGTTTCTCAGTGACTGTCTCACTGACTGACATACTGACTCCCTGTTGGTTTGACTGCCTGTTTCACTGTCTGTCTGTCTGATTAACAGGGCTGCTGGCTGGGTCTATCTGGAGGCTTTGATGCTTCGCTGAGTTAGCTCATTCCTGACCTGGACACACAAAGGGCTCTACACACAGACTAAGGCCTGCTGCTACAACACCAACCTCTCTCCAGGCAGAAGAACGTCAGCATACTGTCTACATTACTACAGAAGTGTGTGTAGATGTTATTACCTTGAGTCAGTGTCAGAATGATGTATGAATTTGTGTATAAAAAACCCTCCAACTGCTGAATAGCAGTGTTGTAAATATAAACTGAGGGCTCTGATGTTGCATGTGATAGGCACTGTGATAAAAAACTAATTCAGATTCCACTGTTCAGGTTGCATGAAAATGTTAACTTGTTTTTTTTTAACTTAGATTTTATGCATTTGGTTGTGTGTTCTTTATACTCTTATATGCATATATATATATATGCATCTATATGCTTTAAGTACCAACATGAGCAGGTTAACATGCTCACAATGATAACGCTAACACGCTAATTTTAGCCATTGCACTTTAGTCTTAGTTTATGCATGTTAACATCTGCTAATTAGCACTAAACTCAAAGTGCAGCTGAGGCTGATGGGAATGTCAACTCTTGTTACTAGCATGGCTAAAAACAACAGGATTAAGTCCAGTAGCATCAAAGCTAAATTCACACTGGAGCTGAGCCTAATGAGGACTTTTAGATTTTCAGAATCTGAAAGATTTTTCAGAATTTTTAAATCAGTGACAATATCAGTTTGACCAGTTTGTGAAATAATAGAAACAAATGTTTGTGTCCAGACCGAGAGTCCGACATCAGAGAGCAGTCCGCTCACCTTGAGGCTGTGGACCGAGGACTCTGGTGGGTAAACGATGAAGTGCCGCAAAGTGAAGCCAAATCCCTGTGAGTTCTTCTGGAGGTAAATGGTCCGTGGGCCCTGCCACAACACGCCCTCCACCTCACCCGACGACAGCGGTCGGCGCCTGTTCTCATTGGACGACACCATGCCATCTCTCCGCCCTTTAGCCTATTGAAAAGAGAAGATAGAGAAAATGTTTAGATCAATAAGCTTTCCTTTTCCTCTTGGTAGGAAATGAACATTAAACTTTACCATGGGAGTCTTAAAGTACATGGTAAGTATCATCTTGACGGGTCTCCATTAAACTTGTTTGTGCGACTGTGTATTCATCTATCATTGAATACATATAAGGGAAGTGAGTGGGTGGATGTGGGCGTATGTGGTCCATTCACTGAGTGCTCTGCCCAGATCTGACCAGGGTCAAATTCCACCAATGCCAGGAATTTTTCAGAAACTTCCTCTCTCTAAAGAGGAAGCTCTATTTTCACCGACAATCTCACCTATAATCCCCTTTATTACCTCCAGGCAACAATGGCAGGTTTAAAAATATATACCATCTATAAATAACAACCATGGAACAACAGGAAATTATTAGGGCTCATAAACACAGATCTGGAAAATCAGATGAACAATAGACAAAGGCAGCTTCACAAAGAGTGTGACTAAAAACATCCACTGATATTTCTATAGGCAGCAGGAGGTGAGAGTTAAGAGAGATTAGACACACAGTGGGCTCTCCAGCACTAATCCAGGGGCTAATCCACATGATGTTTAACCTTCATATCATAACAACACTGATCTTGATCATCAAGTTTGGCGCAAATAAACAAATACATATTTGTTAATGTCAACAATACTAAAAGCTTCAAAACATAAGGAGGAGGATGTAGTCAGCTGACGCATGAATCACTGATGGTGCATGAATGAAACAGCTGATAACTCATCAGCTGATGCCACTGCAGTGCTCTGCCTGAACTAAAGCCCCTAATTAGGCAGAAGGACAGGACTTTTTTGGTTAATTACTTATTCTAAAATTGGTTAGTTAGTTTTAATGACAATTTACAATATAAAGTGTTTTAAAAGCACAAAACACTGAATATAACCCAAACGTTAAAGCTGCAGTAGGTAACTTTTATAAAAATAACTGAAATGTTCAATATATCCTGCCAGTAAGATAAGATATTTTATTGATCCCCCTTAGGAGAAATATATATATAGTCAGTAGTATATGAGACAATAAGCCAGAGGAACCTGATTGTATCACAGATTATCTGTCTCATGTACTACTGTCAGGATATAGCGAAAGTTTCAGCAAATATGACATAAAATCATTTTTAAAAATTACCTACTGCAGCTTTAAAGCTCTAAACAAGGGTACACCAAAAGTTGTTACAACTATCATATTAGCAAACAGCTGCAATTTCTTTCTGCCCAATGAATTCCATGAAGTCCGTTATTTATTCCTCTTTTAGCTCTGGTTTGGTGCCCACCAACTCCTGAGAACATCTGGCTCTTTAGCTGCTAGATGTTCCACTTTCTTAGGAGCTAGTTGTTGGTTTGGTGCTGGGCATGTAGCATATTAAGAGCTAAAAGGGGCTGAAAAGATCTGTAGACCTGCTAATTCCTCACTTCAGGTGACACCTGTTAATAATAATATCTAGTCGGCAATATGGAGAAAATCCTTGTATGCAAATATAATGTCAGATGGACCATAAAACTATCTTTGAATCTGACGTCGTCTTTGAATCTGACGTCGTCTTTGAATCTGACGTCGTCTTTGAATCTGACGTCGTCTTTGAATCTGACGTCGTGGCGGCTGTGGCCCAGAGGCAGAGCGGGTCGTCCACTAATTGGAAGGTTGTCGAAGTATCCTTGAGCAAGATACTGAACCCCAAATTGCTCCCGATGCCGTGCATGGATGTGTGAGTGTGCATGAACGAATTAGTTTCTGTTCAATGGAGTTTGCCATCACTGACTGAATGTGTGTGAAAGGGTGAATGTGGCATGTAGTGTAAAATCTCTTTGAGTGGTCGGAAGACTAGAAAGGTGCTATACATGGTCCATTTACCATTTACGTCTCATTGATGGATTATGAAAAAAAAATTAACAGCCATCATGGGGGAGAAGAAAACAATATCTACAGTATTTACCAGCATACACACTGACACACACATCAGTCATCAACACAGAGAGATGGAGAACAGAAAAGCACACCCATTAGTTATATTAAAAAAACACTCAAACCCAGCTCAGCCAGTTATGAAAACAACAGGAAGTCTGTTTCTTGAGACAGGAAGTGGATGGCCGAGCCCTTCAGGGGCGTGTTTTGGGGAAACCTTCGCCTCTAAGAATAGTTCCAAGGAGAGCAGAGAAGAGACACACACTTTCCACAGAGGGAAGCCAATCACTTTAAATTCATTTCTCCATTATATGGTCAAACAACTAACGACAATTTATGCACTCTTATCAAATCACTGACCACATATGGAAGCCTTTAGAGGACTATATTAAAATGCTCATGTAAATCTTTAAAATCTACACAAAATCCACAATAGCTTTACAATTGTCCACATATGTATGTTTTATTCAAGTTAAAAATGAAAATACAATAATCTTCACATACAATGTTTCACATACTGATATTGGTGTTCTTTGACTATATTAAAATTAAATTTTTTGCTACAACAATTTGTTGCTAACAATTTGACTTGGATGTGAATACTGTCCACTGTAAAGCAGGTTTAAGTCCTTGAAAATTAAATGTCAAATGCTGCTTTTATTTTAAAATAAAATTGTATTAAATTTTTACCTAAATATTGCTTGCACAAATGTGAAAAATTAACATTTGAATATCAGTGAGTGTGAGTCAATTTTGAAACTTAAATGTCAGCTTTTCCATTTTCATTTTAACGTGAAAATGCAAATCGTATCATTGTACATTTTTACTCAAATAACACATACATATGTATGTGAAAGATTATAACACTATTGTGTTATTACACTACATTCTAATATAGTCCCTTAGAGGCTTCTATAGCCAAGCAGTGTTAGTTTGTGATTTCTAACCAAGCCTTGCCTTAATATCAGTAAATTAGCAGAATCTGTTGGATGATTTGCAGCTAAATATCGACCTGCCTAATGTGCTGAAATTATTATTAAATGATCAAATCTTACTTTCAAATATTTTTAAGTTTTACACTTCAGACTTACTTTTTCAAACTTTTTACCCACTCTTATTGCATTGCATAACATACAGTATATTATCCTCACCATCAGGCTTCACAAACAGAATGAAATAGCCTCAGAGGATTCCTGCCCACTGACATTTTTGTGTGTGCGTGGCTGTGGGTGTGTTGGAGAGTCGTGTTTTTTCAAAGCCCCAGAGCATGAAGTCATCATATATATGTGTGTGTGTGTGTGTGTGTGTGTGTGTGTGTGTGCGTGTGAGTGTATATAGGTGTGTGTGTGTGGGTGTGTGTTTGTGTGTGTGTGTGTCTGTGTGTGTGTGTGAGAGAGAGAGAGAGAGAGAGAGAGAGAGAGATAGTGGGGTACATTGCAGTGTTAGATTCCACATGTGACATCTCTGCAGGTGACATTTCACACGAGTGAAAGTAAATGTAGAGGTGAGATGCTCTACATGCTTACCCCCCTCTCTCACTAACACACACTAACCTTACTCGCTCAGCCACACACAGTGTGAAATGCCAACATGCCACGGTGTGTTTTATTGAACAGTGTGATTGTTTTGCCAGCTCTCTCTGTGACACACCTCTGTGCTCAGCCAGATGACTCAATGCAAGTCTGTGTACATTAGTTTCTCTTTATAGCCTAACAGAATTAACACTGACATTATCCATATCTGACTCCCTTTCATTTAGTAGTGGTCCATTACATTTTCTTTCATTTCCCATGGTTTTCTTTTGTCCTTCTTTTGTACAGCTGGAGATTGACAGGAAGGGGAGAGACAGGAGGGGGTGACATGTAGCTAAGGGACACAGGTTGGATTTGAATGTTGGGTGCAAGCTCCACCAGGTGAGGTCCTGGGATGCCTTATTACATTTTATTTTGTAACTTTTCTTTTTGAAATAAGAGACAGAACAGACTATATCAAACTGTGAGTGGTGTGTGTTGTACTTTCAGTGCAACTTAGACACATTAAGACAACATCAACAACTCAAAAAAAAAAAAAGAAGCAAGACAGTTACTATAATCTGACTGCAGTAGCACTCAGATTTTGTGGCATCTAGCAGTGAAGTTGCAGATTGCAACCAACTGAATACCGCTCGCCTTCCAAGTATGGGGAGAAACTATGGTGCAAAAAAGCACAAGGCCCTATCTTGACCCAGTGTTTCGTTTGTATGTTCTGGACTACTGTATGGCGGACTCCGCCATAGAAGAGGACCCACTCCCTCTAGAGAAACACACGTCAGTCTAATGTAAAAAAAACACATCAATTCTTACATTCAGGTGATTATACACTCATGAAAGCATACCTATGAATATGAATAAAGTGAGATGTATGGAAGTAAATAAGAAATAAATATTAGAATTTTAACAGCTACTAAATACTTAGCATTGAAATATTTTACTTTGAAAACCGTGTATCTGAATTTGTTATGAATTTGCCTCTTTGAAATTTAAATGAGCAGATGTAGTCAATGCAAATCACCTTTGGAATGAATGTCTTAGCATCACTATGTTTATATAAGTGAGGGCTTTAGATAAAGTTGTTTCCAGTTGTTTTACTGGTGTCACAGTCAGAATGTTGCTCACGCTGATATTGTGGATGAAATTCATTAAATGTTATAGCAGTAAACAATCAATCTCTTACTTTAAGTCAAAGTCTACGGCCCTTTTTTTGTGATTCATTCATTTAAGGAATTTAAATAAAATATTGTTTAATGGCTTCTCTCTCTCACCCTGAATAAAAGTCCTTACTTGATCCTGGACACTCGGCCTGATTGCGCTGCTCTTTCAGGACAACAAGGGCTTGTTCTAACTCAAATATAGCTCATCGTTAACAGGGCCCACTCCCTCAATTTACTTGTTTTCCTGTCTGCTGCACCGCTAATTTCATTTGGTTCACTTGAATGTAGTGTTTGAATTGCAGACCTTTACTGAAATGATTTAGCTCATCTGACATTCAGACTACGGCAGAGTGAGCTGAACTGAGCAAGAAAGACACACATCAGATAATACAAACTGACAGTGCCTTTGTGTAATAACACACACAGTGTACACTGGAAGCTGGATTACTGAAGCACTCACTCTACCAGCATGCAAACATACAAGAACTGTGTGTTGGAAAAGGTGTGATCCTTGATGCATACTGGAGCAGATGATGTAAAAGCACAACCACACACGCCCACGTGTGCATACACACCAGATTTTATATAAAGCTACATCAATCTCTGTGCGTAGTGAGGGCATCAGCCACATCTCCCTTCCCCTCTGCTAGTCAACAGGCCCCCTCAGTGCTACATTACATAACACCTACAGGAGGCAGAGATATGGCATAACACACACACACTCGAATGAATCAAACACCACGTGCTGAATCTTCCTCCAAACTGTACATAATGACAGGCTGGTAATAGCCATTCTGCTTGACTCAGCTGTGCAGGTTAAAGTCACCCCTAAAGTTGATGGCAAGGACATCAACCTTGACCCTCTGTGATAGAAGCAGGACTTTAACACAGTGGAAAAGGACAGGTAGACAGGGACGGTCAATAATGGTGTCCTCCTCTTGCCCTGATCACAGCAGACAGGAAAGGTTAAAGCAAGATGGTGGAAGGAGCATCCCGGAGGAAATACACCAGACGGGATCAGACAGGAGATGAGGACCCTTTAAAATGGTGACACATGGCTGTTTTTAGAGCTGTAGTCAGTCTACTACAGACAAGGATGGAGAACAAATTCCAAAGTAGTGGTAAAATAGTCCGGTATACTGCAAAGAACAGCACTGCAGTTACAGCAGAGCATAAGTGTCAACTGGACTAGTTAGTCTCACTTGTTTCCAGTGTAGTTACACTCCATGCCGCACTACACTTGTACAGGAAGCAAAATATTTTTTCAGTCAGGTGATAAGCACCGGAAGTTCACTTCAGGGGGAAAACCTAAGTACAAGTACATTCCCAAATAATTCAACCTTAAACCTGCACTAACCAATATTTTCATATCAACAATGTATCAAATGATGGTTGTGGTGACATACCCAGTATCGCCAACTCTGTAGTTCCCTTAAAACACCAGTGTGTAACATTTATGTTTTAATTAGTGTATAATCACCTGAATCAGAATCAGAATCAGAATTAGAAATACTTTATTGATCCCAAGGAGAAATTTGTTAAATATATATATATATATATCCTAAAATATAGGAAGTTATCTTTTCTTTACCTTAGTATGAGGCATTTTACCATGTTAATAGCAGCAGAAGCCCAGATGGGACAAACCACAACATTTGCTCTAGATAGGCCCGTTTGCGTTTTTTGTATTGCCCCTTGACCAGAAAATAATAAAATTTAACAGTACCAAATAATCACGAGAAAGAAATCAGGTATCAGCAGTTTCAGCCCAAAACTAGAAAGGCATACAGTCCTATGATATCAAAATCTGAAAACCATTCAAGTCTGAAAATCAGGGAATTGGATTAATCCAGAAAAAGCCATCACTGATTCCTTGTTTTTAACATACCTGCTGCATTTGTTTCTACAGTGATGTGTGAAGTCACTGTTTTGATTTTTTGTATATTTAGTCACGGCACACCATTCACTTTCATTATGATGGGTTTGCGCACTGACAATTCAGTTCATTTGGCCATTAGAGAAAAAATATTTGAGTAGTGCCCCCCATGATTCTTATTCACTCCAAAATTAAATTGATTCTTCCTTGTCCCAAGTTCCATTAAAATCAGGCCAGTAGTTTTTCCGTAATCCTGCTGACACACAAACAAACAAACAAACAAACAAACAAACCCACAAACCCACAAACAACAAAAACCTAACCTCCTTGGCAGAGGTAACTACTGTTTACCCTCTTACCCAGGACAAGCGATGGCGCTGTATGACCCTCCTTGAGCCCCGCTTTCTTGGTGATGCAATGGGGGTTGGCCGAGGCGAGGCGCGAGGTGAAACACCCCTTAAAACTGCCAACCAGATGCAGCGAGGTTCGGCGTCGCTACAGTCCACCCCGACGGAACACTGAAAACGCCACTCGTGGCCTGACGGAGCTGGTGCGACACCCGACACCCTCAGCATAGCACCTCCACATTTGTACGCACATGCATACACCAGGGGTCACAAGGTTTCAGACCCCACAACTGAGATATGCAGGCACCTCCTCTCAATCTCTGCTTGATGCATCATGGCCAGAAGTGACAAACGAGGGTAAATCAATGGAAAACACACTTCTAAGCAGTAAGTCGACCACTCAACACAGAGTCTTTAATTTGTAAATCTGTAATTCCTTGTAATATCTGGATCCTTCTTGGATTTAGCTTGAACTTCATCATTCATCTTCCTTTGGGCAACACATCAGATCATGTTTCATGGGTCTCAAAGACAGGCTGTCAAGCCATGCAGATCTTGTCCAAACCCAGGTAAAGCATCCAGTTTTCGATTTGATTAGACATCATATGTGGTATTTTGTGCAGTTGTTGCACCAAGTTGTCTCCAGCTAGTCCTCATGTTTTACCAATCTGGGTTTGTTTGGTCCTTGTCTTTCCAATTTAAGGCAAATTTCTGTGATCAAAACAGCAATTCAAGAACTCTCTTCTTGCCTTCTCTCACCTTTCATTTAGTCCAGTTCACAGTTCTAGACTAGGAATTCTTCAGCTTAAATGGCATCCTTGCGTTTTGAATGTGAAACAGCATTAGAAACAGCAGCAGTCACAGGGGAAACTCTAGTTAGCTGACAGCCTTCTACGATTTTAATTAGTCCTCTTCAAAGCTTTCACAGTAAAATTGTCCCCATGTCAGAAAAACTACACTCATTTTACTAAAGTAGAAGTTAGTTGATGCTGTGCGATTTGGCTTAAATCTAATCCTCATCTCTGGATTTCGGAAGTGAATCCATCTCAGACCAGTTGCACTCCATTCCTTGACCAGTTGAGCTGAGAAGGCAGTTTGTTGTCGGACCAGATTTTAGGATTGGATACAATCCCACGCCGCTGCTAAGAGATCCAGTGTGTCCCCCTCCATGCTGGCACTATAGTGCAGCATTGGCTGTTGCTGACTATCTTTATTGCTGTCTAAGTATAGTCCTCCCTCCTCTCAACCCTGCCATGCCTCTCTCTCTCTCTCTCTCTTCATTCTCTCCCTTTCCCTTGGGTCTATTTGCTGACATCCCTGCACACTCTCTCTCTCTTTTTCACTCTCAGTCACATTCCTCTCATCCCTTTGCTACACAGTCCAGCCCCCATTGGTAAGGCAGAAATCTCTCTCTCTCTCTCTCTCTCTCTCTCTCTCTCTCTCTAAGTCTCACATGATTCTGCTGTTGGTGTCCAGGGTACCTATGGACTGTGGAGCCAGTGTGCATTCATGTATAGTGACTTAAGGAAATAATGTAGCCAGAGGCTGTTTTTTTTACACTGGTGCAGTACCGTGGAACAGCCTATCATTAAACAAGAGGTAGGGTCAGTGCTTATTTATGGAGTAAGGCTCATTTATGAAATTTTACTTAGCCATTAATCTGTTTTTGTTGTATTAAGGTGTATTGATTTGTATATTTATCACTTTGTGCAAGATTATATTGTTTAATTTTATGTTAAATTCTTTAGGTCCATATTTTATCTTCTGTGGCCGTCGTGAAAGCAAAAATTAACAGACTGAACCTAACAGCACACAATCTGTGCATTAAATATGTTTCTGGAGATCAGATATGGTTAGCCTAGCATAGCTAAAAGACTAGATGCAGGGGGAAACAGCATTGCAGTATAGATTTAGTGGATAAAGCATATGGGTCTGTGAAGTGAACCAACGTGAAAGTGTCATTGTTTCCAGTGGCCAGCAGGGGGAGCTCCCTCTGATTGTATAGAGTCTTATAAAGAAATTACCCTACTTCTCATTTAAATTATTAGCCCATTAAAAAGTTTCCTTATTAGTTTATGGTCTTAATCACTCAGAAACATATTTTAGAGTACTGTTTATCTACAGACTGCAAAAAAAATTAAAAAAAATGGCTCCAAACTTGATTCCAAACTAGAGGCTACAAAACGGTACTCCACAAACCAATGTATGATAGGTTCATACTTGGTCCAAAGTTTAAAAAAACTACTCACCACCATCTCTAAAGCTCTGCATCTAATGGATTACACCAAGAAGATGCAATGTGTCTATATTTATCCTCTGCAATGTTCTTTGAGTATCCAAATTCTACTTTGGATACTCTACAGTACTTTTTGCCAACAATCTCACAATGCAGTTGTTGCATTTGACATATGTAAAAAATAACAATTGTGCACACATTGCAAAATGACCAAAATTCTAATTTACCGCTCACTTAACAGTAAACCACTGAGTTTCTATAGGGAAGAGTCAATGAATTTCATGTACAAGAGTGATTTATGACCTAGCTTTTATGCTAAGCTAGGCTGCTCCGTAATTAACACACACACAGTATATTGATGTCAGCTCACTGAGGGTAGAAAGTAGGGCTGGGCGATATGGCTTAAAAATAAAATCTTTTTTCACACCAAACCCGATTTACGATTTTAATCGATTTTTTTGTAGACTGTTTTTAGCGGGTGTTTGTGGGCTGTGGTCCTGTATATCTCGCAGAGAGCAACATTTCTCCTACTCGGCTGCATGCCTCTGCTTGAGGTGCTGGAATAAATTGGTCGTCCTGCTACCTTTGGTTGCAACAGCTTTCAAACAAACTTTGCAGTGGGTCGTGGTTTGTTCGCTGTCGGACGCCACAAAACCAAACCAGTTCCAAACAACCGACGACTCTGTGCCTTTTTTGGGGACGAGCTCATCCTGGCTTGCTGCCATGTTGTGTTTATCTGTGGAGAGGTGGGGGGAGGGGTCAGCGGACTCTGACCTACGGGAGCCCAAAGAGAGCGCTGGTGTTGTGGAAGTTCAAGAGAAAACCGATTTTAACTAAAAATAAATCGTGTTTAACTACAAATTCAAATTAATCGATAAAATCGATTTATCACCCAGCCCTAATAGAAAGCAACAAGCAGCGTATTTACCAAAATGTTAATAATGAATGTAACGGTCAGTATGAGTCCTATGTGTGTGCAGTATCAGAGCAGGGGCATGTCTCGGTGTGTTTGTGTGGATATCTGGTTCTAATGAAACTGTAAGGAAGTGTGAGTGTCTGAGAGGGTAAGAAATGATTACAACCAAACTGTCAACAAGCATAAATGTTTGTCCTTTCTGAATAACTCTAAATGTGGATGTCAGACTGTGTGTGTGTGTGCACGTGTCCATCCTCTTCTAGCCCTCCACAACAGCTCTGTCAGCCCCTCAGTCCTCTTTTCATTGACACCTGAGAGCAGCTAGGACGACAGACAGCGAGAGAAAGGGAGAATGAAGATAAAGAGGGAGCAGTGGGATGTGGAGACACTAAAAGAGGCTGACATCCGTGCAAACATCATCCAGCAGCCTCTGCATCTCCCATCTCCTGTCCTCCTCTGGCCTTTTCTCTCCTTTCTTCTTCTCCTCACTTTATTTTCCTCTGCTGTCTTAACAGCTTCTCTCTTTTTTTACTTTATATTCTTGACCTTTCCTTTCCTATAAGGAAATCTATATTACAACTGTAAAACTGAAGTCAAAGTAATGTTATGCTGCCTGACTACTGTGAATCTTGCATTTCTGTGCGTGCCTTCTCCATATGAGGAGGGTTGGTTTGGGAAAAGCATTGTGACCAATCTGTGCACTCATGACAGTGCTTTCCTGACGGCGAGGACTCATAATCATGGAGGAGTCAAGCCAGAACAAAAATAACATAATGTGATGTGTGAGTAGAATACGCATCTGTTCTGCCCTGATTCTTTATGCCTTGGCTCTGTTAGGACGCCGCTGGATCTCAAGGCGAGCCCCGCTGGTATGAGAGCGAGTGATCACATGATGGCTATGAGGAGAAATACTTCTCCTAGGCTGTCTGACTCTCTATTCAGTCCAGTTCATGGTATATAAATACAATGCAAAAACAACACATTTAATCAAATGAGGTTATCAAATCTATCAGTTAATCAATTGCTCTAGGCAGAATGCACAGCACATGTTCAGCCTTGGCTTAAATAACTTCTAAATGCTATCAACAGTTCAAAGGTCAAAGCATTCATAAAGATAGTCTTACTTCATCTTTAGTTTCAGAAGGCAGCAAGGGCGCAGCCTCCAGGTTATGAAAAGATACTTGTTGACTGTTTGACCCAACTGTGATCTGCCCTCACTGAAAGCTGCAGTAGGTCATTTTAATAAAAATATATTTTTTTCATATTTGCTGAAACTTTCTGACAGTAGTACATGAGAGAGAGAGTCTCATTCCCAGGGTGCATTGGTATTTGATGTCCTGGGAATGAGACTCAATCAACTATCTTCAAGTCTCCAACCCAAAGTGCTTTATATCTTTCTTGGCAGTAGTATAAAATAGATAAATACACAATATCACGATGATATCTTCCAGCCTTAAACTCACATCTATTTTAGCAACATGACCCATCCTTTTCTACACTCGTCCACCTCAGTTAAGTAAGTTGTATTCTGTACTCAAGTTTAGGGAGGAGTGAGTGAGAGGGTAAGAAATTGAGTGGGGAGAGGAACAAAGCAGAGAACAAGGTAAATAAAGAGCTGTCAGCTAGAATCTCAGCCTAAAGGAGAAGACACAGTCAGAGAGAGGGGAGAGAGGGGAGAGAGGGAGCAATGACTCAGCCACCGAGTATGATGAGAGAGCGCAGCGCAGAGAGAAAGAGATGATCCCTGTGGGACAGAGAGTGAAGACTAAATCATGTCACATGAGCTACAGTGTGAAAACAGCTAAATGTGATTTAAAAAACATTAAAGGAGAAAGTCAACTGAGACCAACAAAAACAGAGCTGTGTTAATTGACCAAAAGTTTCAAAGGTAATGTAAAATTGTGCCAAATTGTGAACCAAAACTTGCTCCCGATGGTTTGAGCCGTGCGTGGTAACTAGACCGGTACAAACACTCACAGACATTTGTACCTTCTACATTTATTAACATTCACTACTCTTTTGTTTGTTCTCATACGTCTGTACACAAATTTATACTAGCTTGTTTTGCAATATATGCAAACATCAGTGGCCAATTGTGACCAATGGTTTCTTTTGGGACTTCAAATGAAAGGTTACAATGAGTCTGTGGCTGCTTTCGAAGTCATCCGTATGAACAGAAAAACCTGCATATTTATGATATCTGGGGGATAAAAGGTGTTACTTTGCCACCAGGCTTGAACAAAAACAACCAATCTATTTGATGCCCTGAGAATGAGACTCAACAATCAACTATCTCTCTCAGGTCTGATTGGATCTCTTCATTCAGGCTTAGTGGACTCTTGCAAATGCCATTCGGAACACAAGGAGGTGCCAGAGGAACCTGAGTTTTACCTGAGTCAGGATACAGTGAAAGTCTCAGCAAATATGACAAAACGTTATTTTTATAAAAGTTACCTGCTGCAACTTCAAGAAATGTTAATAAAGCCTACACTAAATTTTAATTTTCATTCAATATTTAAATTATATAATACATAAATCCTCTTTAGAGACCCAATAATCCTAAAGTTTCAATTAGGGCTGCAACTAAAAGTAATTTCCATTATTGATTCATCTGCCACTTATGTCCAAGGTGATGTCTTTAAATGTCTTGTTTTGTCAGTTGTACCTCCAAAGATATTCAGTTTAATGGGATATAAAACAGAAGAGGCTAAAAACATCTTCTGGCATTTTTGCATGAAAAATGACTTTAACGATTGATCCATTATTAAAATAGTTGGAGATTACTTCAATGTCGATCGACTAATTGATTAGTTGACTTGCTGCAGCTCTAATTTTAATTACTTTTTACTTTTAAACTACTTTTACTTTACTTTTTACTTTTTTATAGAGCTCAACTAATACTATATTTGTTAGGCTGATTTAGCTGATTTTTTAACACATAACAAGATCAAGATATGGTTTACTATTAAAAAGGTGTGTTGGGTGAATATTATTTACCTGGCTAATAGTAGCATTTAATACTGTGT